TTTGCAATACCAGCAGCAAAAACGCATATGAATTTTGGCCATAAAAAAAAACATATTATATTAGTTTAGCTCTACCTAGGAGGTGCCAGTATTCATTGTTGCATTGGTTCAATAATTATAATGAAACTAGACATTTTTTTTAACGTAAATATAATAAATTATTTTAAACCATGAAATACATAACCGTAGGTGTTTTTGGCGGTTATATTTGTATATCTTGATACTAAATTTTTCAAATTCATCTAATACTTAATCCGGGCTAATGCGAGTCTTTCAAACGACAAAGTCTCACGATTTCATCGCTCGATGCGTTCCTCAATTAAGGAGGCGTTTGCAAAAGGCCAAGTGCCTGGCTTTGTAGTCGTCTGAGCAGGCGGCGCTTGCGATTGGAGCGCGGTTTTTTGAGCCGCAAACGATTCCAATTTCGGTCATCAACCGAGCGCCGTCACGGTCCGCCTAGCCGTGGAATATAGCCTTGGATCTTTCTAGACTGTTTCCTTGATGCGTCGCGTTTTGTTTATGTTCTGTGGTCATTATAAAGTTGGTAAGAGGTGTCAAATTGTGGTCACTAAAGAACGAAAGAAGCCTTACATCAGGTACTTCTCAGTTGATTGTGACGGATAAAGTTTTAAAATATAGTTTTTGTTTCACCGTAATTAAAAGATCTTTTTCATGGCAGTCTTCTCTCTCTCTCTCTATCTAAATTTTTCGGCTCTAGTTCTTTTGACAAAGAAAAGCTCTTCAGAGATGCTCGTCCACTCTCTCACGTTACATAACAAACATTTCTTCTCTCCTCCAATCCGTTTCTTTTAGCTTACTAGTTCATTATTACGCATGTGAATCTTGTGCACATGGAATCATTTGGAGACTAATGTTGTTTGAATTGTTAATGTTCAATTGAAAAAAACATTAGTAATTTTGTTAGCACGGTAATTAAAGTCGCAATTGCAACAGGAAGGTACTATGAGATTATAAGAAGAATAGATATAGATATGGGTCGCCCGCCGATGACTGGTCATTGAGAACCGCCTCCCAAGCCCTCAGTACATGGAGGTTTAACCTTGAGCTTCCACGCAACAGTCTTGGCTGTTGCACGAATGGGCAGGTCCGTCCGGGGATGTACCAGGACATTACGGACCTAAAGACCGACGTGAAGTGGAAGTATTATACCTCTTCGTTACGTCTGGTGAGTGAGGTAACTGGATCCCACTTCATTCAAAGGTGGCGACGCATCTCCAACTCAACGAGTGTTGCAAATATCCATGGGCCGCGGTCAGGCATATTTATTTTGAATTTATATATCAGCTCGTTCTGTCGGTCTTGATACAATATAGATATCTGTACAGTAAAACATAATTGCACCTATGATAATCTGCTTTGTAGCTGTCCTCGTTTTTAATAATGGGGCTTATCTCCCGCAAGGCGAATATCAAATAATGTCGCTCGCTTTTGCCTTTGATGACGCTTAATTCGGCTAAGGCTACGTAATAATTTAGTGTTTTATGCACAGCTAATTGCTCGTGGTGCTCTATAAAAAACATCTTTTAAAATTCAAATATCTTTATTGAATATAGAAGTGTTACACCTGCTCATTGATTGTAAAAAAACACTACTACCGGTTCGAAAAAAAGCCACTGACCTGAGAAGAACCGGCGAAAGAAACTAAGCGGTACAATTTCTTTTTTAAGCATAATTTGACAATAACAAACATTTATAACATATGTTCACTCCATCTGAGAAAAATCTCCAACTGAGAAAGACATGGTTTACTTTTGTTAGGTCGAAAAGCAAGTTGTTTAACTCCACATTTTTTATTATGCAATTTCATCACGAGTAGAGAAGTGATCATTGGCCGTTGTTTAGTTATAAGGTATTTTAATTTTTACATTTATTAATGATGCCTTTTGATTGAGTGGCATTAACAAACAAAATCAAGGTCTCAAAAGAATATCTGGACGTACTTTGTTTTCCCTTGTTTTAGTTTCTTTCGAGCTCCAGCGACATCTTGATTACACAGTTTTTTGGTCCATGAGGGGAACTGAGCCCAGATCAGAGTATTTGGTGATTTCATTTTAGTCCTTGCGTCAATAGGTCTTATTAAGGTATAAAATCATCAAGTTAGTTTTTTTAAGACATAAAAAGTTGAATTTACTATAACTCGAGGCTTTCAGTGTTTCGGGGCGTGTTTTTATGGGCCGTTTTTGCTTGTATGTATATACAAATAACAGCCACACATGCGCGTGTACTCGGCACTCGCATGTGTGTCTGTTATGTTGTCTTCCTTGTCTGAAAGCAGTGCGCCGTGACGCGTGACGCGTGACGCGCCGCCGGAGCGTGTAAAAGCGCGCCAAATTCAATCCACAACGCTACACGCCTCGACCGCGACTGGCGCTAATTGAAAATAATTAGAAAAAAGAACAAAGCAACGGTGGCGTCACGTTGTACATTGCGCGCGTTCTGTTTGGTTGGTTTTCTGATTGCGTTAGGCTAGTCTCGGGAAATTTCTTAGAAAATTTCGGATGGTTTTCGAAACCCTTTGATATATTTATAAGAATTCGTTGCGTTGCATCAAAAGATGTGTTGTTAACTTACGTTCGTATGCGTGTATCATTTATTCATAGTTCGAGGAAGTAACACGACACCGGCGTGAAGTGGAAGTTTTACTTCTGCGTTTCGTCTGGTGAGTGAGGTCAAAGGGGCCTACCTATTAGAAGTTGGCAACGCATCTGCAAGGCTACGTACGTAGATATTCATGGGCAGCGGTTATCATCAGGTGAACCGCCAGCTCGCTTGTCATCGTCTCACATTAAAAAATTTCCTTTCGAGTATTCAATCATCAAAATATGAATGAATACCAACCCGATTCATTTCATTGCCAATATTTGATTTGATCAGCTAATGTTTCTTTCACCTGCGGCTACTTCGGTACTTACCATCGTGTAAGATAGCAGTAAACATTGTTCAGTCAATGATTAAAAGTCCTTAGCTGCCGTGTCAAATTATTGCAAAGCCGCTAGAGGGGCGCGCACAAATTGCGTATGTTTCATGCCCTGTAAACGTTTCATGCTGAATGCGAATGTCCGCGGTTCATACATTTCGTATGGTATCTCTATCTTTATTATTTCCTAAAGGTGTTTTTGTTGGTACTCCCATAACTAGCATAATTCTTTTTTTTTAAGAAATTTAAATTGTTTATAGTGCTAATCTTTGCACTTAAGATTGAACATTAAAATATGTAGACGCTCTAGCCACTGAGCTAAACGGCTGATTACCACACCGACGAAAATCTTAATGGCTTCCTTCTACAATGTTTTCTTAGCATTTGAAGCAATGCTTGGCGCAATCTTGGCGTAATCAGCCGTTTAGCTCAGTGGCTAGAGCGTCAGGCTGCGAATGCCGAAGACGTGGGTTCGATTCCCACAGCGGCGACAATCTTTTCGCACTTTTTCTACATATTTTAATAGCATAATTGTTTATGAAATTTAATAACTCAAACATCATTTTTTACCTTTGACGATAAATAAACAACCCAGATTGAAGTTAATGTTTTCATTAAAAAGTCACGTATCAAAATTTCATATAAGAACCTACGATAAATATTGTTGACATTTTTTTTAAATTGAGCATATCGAAGTTGACTGAAAAATATCGCACATGGGCTATTCATGTATGCCCTGCTCGCACTCCAGTTTCATTTGGTGTCGTAATCATAATTTATGCTTTGAATGCTGAACGGGATCGTATACAGACCGAATTGAATGCCTTTGAAATCTCATCTTTTGCTTATTGTATGAGTATATGATATAATTTGAATAGTCCTTTACTCCTCTAGGATGAGAGCTCGAATAACCGGCTCTCTGGGTTACAGCGGTCATAGCGGTCTTTGTGTCGGTTTGGGCTTGAGAAATATCAAACTTAGAAATAGCTATTTCGAGAACAATATGTAGTATCTTATTTTTTGTAATCTGCGGTTGTATTATATACTACGCTTTTATGCTTGATTATTCTGTTCCTCTGTACCGCCAACCACTCGGTCGTAAGCTGTGACATCATAGAAACAAATATAAACAATTGTGTTTGTTATCGTTTCATCGTTGGGGGACTTCTATAGTTAGTTGAACACGAGCTCTCGTCACTGAGCAACCACCGCCTAAGATTGTGAAGGTGGAGAAATGTTTTCAAGGTGCCTCTATTGTTAACGAACAAAGGCGCGCGCTTTGCCCGCTCCGCTCATGTGGGTTCTATTTTTACAAAATCCATATTTATTACGATGCGGGTATCGGCACTGTTTCCATGCTAATTTCGTTTATCGCGTACAGGCAGGTGTACCTTGACGCGCTGCGTTTAATGTAGGAAAAATGTTACGCAATATTTGCACGATTGTATTTCATTTTATGCAGATGTTCATGTGAGAATGATAGTGAAATGCAGGGAAACGGAACGTTGAGTGTAAGAGTGAGTCAGCGAAAGTGAACGTGTGTTAAGTTTTTTTAAAGACGAAATAAAGGCGTATTTAGTAATTAATATTACGTGTCCGCTAATTTAGAAATCCTTCCTCCGCATTAATGAAACGAGTATTGTTACAATTTCTTTTGGCATTTGTTTCACTAGGTAGATTTCTGTCCAGCTAGTTGATTGAGCATGGCATTTGTATTTTGTGTGGAAGTGGTTGCGTAGTAAGTCCCAATGACCACTGCGACCTAGAAGATATTTTGTGGTCTTCCCTTCGAAAACATTCTCTATTACTGTAGGATAACATTATCGTGTGTTGTATGGACTTACATAAGTACATTCATAAATTTCACGTGGTCAAATACACAGACCCGAAACAATTATCTGTGGGTCACACAAATAGTTGTCCCGTGTTAGAATCGAACCCACGACTACCGGCGCCTGAGCCAATAACTTGACAGCTGCACTATGGAATCATCGAGCATGGGTTCTTTTGCACAAAATGTGGTCACCGGAGTTTTCTCGTTTGCGCTTCCAACCAGCTCAGAATGCCCGTACCGAGGGGCCTTCAGTGGGTAAAAAATCCGCCTAACTATCGCTGGCATTTCGAGGAGAGTAGGGATTCTTTCAAAACACGACATCCCTTGTATCTATCGAAGCAGGAATCCCTGTCTCGCGACGATGCGGGCGTGAGTCAGGCGGCGCTATCGCAATCCCGTGGCGCCGCCGACCGCATTGATAGCGAGGCACGGTCCGCCCACACCGTCACTCGGCTTCGGCACGCGGACCTGCTGTAGGAAGTGTCAAGCCCGATTCACTCTGGTCAAGTGTTCAGTACAGTAGAGAAGTGCAGCGAGTAAGTACAGTAGTGTAAATTACACTACCGAGTAAACAAGCACAGTTAACTGCCATCGGGGTCACGGCCCTCACCGAACCTCGGTGGCATGAGTACATGCGCGGCTCTACCCACTGAGGAGGGCCTGAAACCCGTGGGTTCTGTCTATCCCACCGGTTCTGCGATGAAGCTTTAATAGGTCAAGTCAAGTCAAAGTCAAAATGTCTTTATTCAACATAGGCTTATTTTAAGCTCTTATTGAACGTCAAAAACTACCACCGGTTCACTAAACTAGACCTGCAAGAGAAGAACCGGCAAGAAACTCTGCGGTCATATATTTATATTTTATTTCTATTTTTTTTTTTTTAAGTATTTAAGTATACACACAAAATTATTTTAGTATAATTTAGCAGGAGCCAGGGGACTTGCAAGTGCAGAGCAAGAGTCATTTCCACACATCCTTGTCCTCAATGTATTCCTCGACATTATAATAAGCCCTTTCCATTAAGGTGGTTTTTACAAAATGTTTGAAATTATTTAAACTTAATTGTTTGTGGATGTCACCTATTCTATTATATAAGTTAATACATCTACCAAGAAACGCTTTCCTGGTTTTAGCTAGTCTAAACCTCGGTATTTCCAACGTGTCACCACGGCCCCGACGCGATGTGGTATGTTTTTTTGTAAAATGGTGTTAGTTATTTCGTACATACATGATGTTCTCAAGTATGTATAGCGACGGGAGCGTTAAGATGTTTATCTTTTTAAAAATATGCCGAAGGGACTCACGTGGACCCAGGCCATAGACAGCCCGTATCGCTTGCTTTTGCAGTACAAATATCGTGTCTAAACCGGATGCGGAACCCCAAAGTAAGACACCATAAGACATAATACTGTGAAAGTAAGCATAATAAACTAATTTAGCTGTTGCCTCGTTTGTTAGTTGCCTGATCTTGCGTATGGCAAAGCCGGCAGCGCTGAGCTTTTTAGCTAATTTATCTATATGCGCTCCCCATTGCAACTTGGAGTCAATGCATATTCCAAGGAATGCCGTTGAATCCTCAAGAGGTAGGATGTTGTCATCAATAAAGATTCCTGGTTTGTGAGACAGCTTTGATAATGAAAATCTGATACATTTAGTTTTAGTGGCGTTCAAAAGTAAATTATTGGTCGCAAACCAGCCCGACACGACACTTAGTATTTCATTTGGTTGCTCTAATGTAATCTACCTTAACCTTAAACAACAGTGAGGTGTCATCCGCAAACAAAACGATTTGAGACCTTTTTTCTACCACATATGGCAAATCATTTATGTAGACTAAAAACAGGAATGGGCCCAGGATCGATCCCTGAGGAACACCCATTTGTACTATTGATCCCGATGACAGTATACCATTTATAATTACTTTTTGTTCCCGATTGCTAAGATATGAGGAAACAAAATTAATGGCAGATTTTCGAATACCATAATATTCCAATTTCTTAATAAGAATCTTATGATCTACACAGTCAAATGCCTTGGAGAGGTCACAGAACACACCAATGGTGTCATGGAACGTCTCCCAAGACTGCAGGATATGCGAAATTAATTCTACTCCAGCATCAGTTGTAGATCTTCCTTTCGTAAATCCGAACTGATGATGGTTCAAGATTTCATATTTATTAAAGTGAAATAGCATCTGATCCAGCATGATTTTCTCAAATATTTTACTTAAGGCTGGTAAGATAGAAATGGGTCGGTAATTAGAGGAACTTTCTCTTGAGCCTGATTTATAAACTGGCACAATTTTGCTACATTTCATTAATTTTGGAAATTTGCAAGTATCTAAACACAAATTAAATATTTGGGCTAATAAACAAGCAATATCACAGATTATAAGATCTAATGCCCATATTGATACGCCCCATAGGTCTTCAGTTTTCTTTTTATTTAAATTTTTAAAAGTCTTAATAATATCATTCGGACCTATGTGGCAAAACTTAAAATCTGGAATGGAAATATTATCATATTTATCCAGATATGTTGCTGCCTCTGTGGGACAGTGTTGCAAATGCCTAGTAGTTTTAAAAGGTATATTTGTGAAAACATTTAGAAACTCATTTGCAACTTTATAATTTTCTTTTATAACTTTGCCATGTACATTTAATGTAAAATCCACTTTTTTTTTTTTTCATTATTTTTACCAGTTTCCTTATTTATCACTTTCCAAGTAGTTTTAACTTTATTTGCGGCTAATTTTATTTTATTGCTCAAGTAGTCTGCCTTAGCTATAATACAGACCCTTTTAAAGATTTTTGAAAACTTCCTAACATATTCATGGAAGTTAGGATCACAAGTTAATGATTTTATACTGTATAGATCATAAAGTCTATCCCTGCTCTTTCTTATTCCCTTAGTCGCCCATTAACTGAAAGAAAGTTTATTGCTTAAGGTTATTGTGGAAAACAAAATGTTTTTGGCAGATTTTTATTAAATTCTCTGCTAATCATACTAGACAGGGTATTGAAATCGCCATCAGGATCATTAAGGGTTAATTTTAGCAAGGGTAGTTTATACTTAATACTATCCCTGAACTTCTTAATTCTGTTTTTAGTTTAAGCCTACATTCATTTATAATAAAATTTATTCTTGTTATTAATGTGAAGGTCTATTTTAAGGGCTTTATGATCTGATCTAACGCCACTCAATATAACTTGATTAATAATTTTACAATTTACTATTATATTGTCTATGCATGAGGCACAGGATGGGGTTACTCTTGTTGGTTCATTGAAGATGCAATTAAGATTAAAAGTTTCAAGAAGTGATAGGAATCTTACTTTGTCCGGTGAATCTGTTAGTAAATCAATGTTGAAATCACCACAGATGACTATTTGCTTTTTCATTTTAAATATTTTTTACTTAATACATCTTCAATAATTAACAAGAAGTTCAAAAGGTCTGATGAGGGAGGTCTATATACACATAATATTAGATAACCTTCTGTCTCTGCACAAGCAATCTCACATTGTCGTTCAACAGAGTATGCAACAATATCACTTCTTTCTTTCAGTTTCAAAGTGTTTTTATGTAGGATAAGACATCCCCCTCCCATAGCAGTCACTCTGTTGAACTTACTGGCTACTGAATAATTTTTAATACTAAATGTCATATCATTGAGCCATGTCTCAATAAAGCACAAGATATCTAAATTATACTTATCAATTAAAAGTTCTACATCGAGGATCTTGCCAGAGAAACGGTTTATATTTTGATATAGCAAACTAATAGTTTGTATGTTTTGTTTCTCTTTTGTCAGCCTTACATTACTAAAAAAGTGTTAGCTTCAGTATTAATAGACAATCTTTTTAATACTGGATTGTCATTATTTATATTGTATGCTAATAAAGTAGCTATCTTGTGCTTATGTCTAGTTGGCAGATACACAGTATCTTGAGTCATAGTAAGTACATTAATAAATTTGTTTATGTCAAAAAATTTAAATATGTCATTATGACGGCATGTCAAGTGATGTAATAATTGATTAAGTTTATATATACTATCATTACATTTTTCTGTGGATGAAATGTAAGGGAACGCACACCACATAATTTTTTTTACTTTGAGGTTAGACAGTAAGGAGAAACTTTGAATTATGTCCTATTTTTTTAAATAAGTGCTATAGGTAAGGACTGAAAGCGTAACATCAGTTATACAAAAAAACGATCTCGCCACTGTCCGACCGTTCATAACGGTGCGGACGAGCTTTCGTCGAAGTAAACCTCTCCCGCGACTCTAGGCATTGTTTCAATGCTTGTGTCGGATAGATTTTTTATTTGAGTTAAAAGCGAATGTAAAAAGACGGAGTGCACGATGGTGCGATTGCTTGCGATACATGTATTGAGGGACGAGAACTTAACTTTGCCGTTGGAAAACTATTGTCTATTGTTGATATATTTTTTTTAACGAAAAATTGCAATTACAATTTAATTTTTTCTTCTTGCGAAAGCCCTATACTATTTGATTCCCTTATTAGTTTCAAAATATATAGCATAAACAGCCGTATTATTCAAGTAAGTCAAAGGTAATTCATAAAACAAACATTTGTGATTTTAGAAGTTGTTTAAAATTGTTCTTCACTCTGTGTGAACAAAACTCACTAAAACCGTATGCGAATGATAAAAAATAAACATTCCTTTGAAATATTATGTTTAATTTGGAGCGGGAGCAACATGTAACGTACGCAAAAGTAAATAAGCTTTTAGAGTTGGGGCGAACTTGCGTAAGTTTTTGGCCCCCTGTGGCTCGACTGTTTGTATGACATTACTTTATTGAAGTAGACTTTAATTATTTACATGTTTATGAATTATTTCTCGGTTGACTTCTAGAACAAGGCAATAATAATTTTTGTCCAGATGATGTCCACCGGGCAAATTTTTATTACACACGTAAAAGATAGTTCTGATTAACTCTACCTGTAATTGAGATTCCGTATATACATACGAGCATGTGACTCGCACAATGTAGGAAGTTTCTTAGTAGAGTACTTGTGATTGTTCCCCCAAAACAAAGTCTGCAAAAATAGCCCATTCGCTTATTATTCCAAATATGTTTCTGGAATCGATATAATTGAATCGGTGGAAATTAAGAATGTAAACGAGATGTTTCTAAAGTGAATAATTTGGCAGGTGGCCAATCAAGGCCCCTATGCCTGAACATAACTCCGGGACCGATTTACACCAGACCGTTTAGCAGGAGCGTGTAGCAACTAGTATTTGAGTAAACGCCGCATCACGTCTTGTCGAGAGTGCAGACAGCGTCTGATCCTCGCCGCCAAACTCAGGAATTCAGTTTCATCGACGGGCACGCCATGTTTGTTTTACCGCCACTCGTGTGTTGCTCTGCTTCTCGTTGCGGTCTCTTTTTTTTTAACAAGAGAGACAAAAACATTTCATCCGAAACGATGTTCTTACGTAGGCGACCCGAAATGTTTTTCGACTTAGCACACATTTGCAGATGTGTTCGTGATAGTGATAACCTGCGCTTTTGAATTTAGCGAGACCTCAATATAAGTGCCACTCTTTTCTTCTTCCTCCTGCCTAGCTGGGGTCATCATAACATGTTGTTAATGGTATTTTACGTACGGTCGCATTCCTGGCAACTTATGCAAATATTGGTCCCGTGTGGGAATCGAGCCCATGGCCCCCGTTTCCGAAACCAATGGCTTGGCAATTGCGTCACATCACTTTAAATTAATAAAAATCGTTTCCGTTTGGATATATTTACTCGTTGAAATCTATGGACAGAAATTTCGTCTGAATAGCCTCCTACGTCGTTTGAGAGTGTTAATTTCTATGTTGTTTGAAGATTGTTATAACGCGTTCACTGTAGTAATCCCTAAAAATATCAACAGCATATAAATGCCTCGCATAGACTTCGAGCGAGGCCGCACTCGAGTGTTTGTTGAAGTCAATTGTTGTATTGTTTCAGGTAATGTGAGCTGCTCGCAACCAACCACAATGCGGCGGGTCCCCATAACGGGATCAGCGCCATCTGGTCTTCCAAACTCGAATCACTGTAAGTGGCTGTAGCATTTAATAGCGCACCTAGATAGAGAGAGCTCTAGATACATCTAGATAGAGAGAGAGAGTTCCTTTGTGGTTTAGTGAATGATAAAAGCTTGATCGAGTACATGATTACAAGATAGCAACGCTTGCAGTTATTTTTTTTTAAATAGATGTCATTTGACAATTTCTAAAAAAGATAAGGCTCTCGAAAATTATACATAGGTGTCGAGGAGATTTTTCCTTGTTTATTATATTAAGCATATCTTTACATCACAATAATTATTATACTTATTGTAGTCGTGTCTTTATTTGAAATCTTCATAGTTTTACATCGTGTACATTTGTGGTTACGATTTACCGCATCCAAATGACGATACTAGAGTTGCCTAAGCTCTAACTGAAACTCGGAAATAAATTAATTAGCGTTTTAATAGTCCACTATTTGATACGTAAATGTCATGATTTTGTATGTTTTCTTTTATCGTAAAAATGTTGTTTATTACCTCATATTACAGTCAGTGATGATATTGATGAAGAATTTCATTCTGACAACACAAATACTGTTATACTGTGAAAAATCCGCACAGCAGTTTTTGATGTTGTATGTATGGAACAACCGGTATTTTTACTCTTGCGATTCGTCTCTTGAGTTTCTCATAACGGTCTGACATCTGTTTCTCAACGCAAACAACCTATTGCGTTGGTGTTGTTGGAAATCATCATCAACAAGCACCCTTCGTAAAGAAACTGGAGTTTCTACGATTAATTTGTTCAGCCACAATCTTAGTCGAAACGTTACTTGCAGACTGAAAAGTGCGGCCGCTATGCGACCGTCCGACCGCCGCCAGTGCCGCGGACGCTGCGACCACGACGCCGGACCAATAGCGCCATCCGCCACGCAACTTACCCCATCCACTCTGACGGACTGCCCCAAGGCTCAAAACTGAAACTCAAAACTGGTCCATTTGCTCACTCGTTGCCGCGGACACACATGTGAAGTGAAGTGCTTGTGCCAGTGCGCCCTATAGGAATACGCCTAGAGCCGGTGCGATCCGGTTAGTTTCGGTTAGATCCGGTTAGAAGCAGTTCTATCCGCTCGGAGCCGGCTCCGCAGTCGCGATTGCGGGCCGCCTCGCCCCGGGCCCGATGTGTGCGCCGTCATGGCGTTCATGACGAAGAAGAAGCGATACAAGTTCGGGGTCCAGTGCTGCCTCGAGGAGCTGACCGAGGTGCCGTTCGTGTACGCGGTGCTGTTCGCCAAGGTGCGCCTGCTGGACGGCGGCAACTTCCAGGACCACTCGAGCAGGTTGGTAGCGCGGATGCGTTTTATATTGACTGTGGGCTACGCAGCGTGAGGCTAAGTGACGTAGCCGGGCCCACTTTATTATAAAGTGGCAACCCTACGGGTGTTGCAAATGTCAATGGGTGGCGGTTATCAATCAACGTCAGGTGAAGTGCCAGCGTGATTGTAACCTTCTCAAATAATAAAATGGTCGCAAATCTGATTTTAACATGTAAAAAGGATCAATGGATATAATTAAATAATATACTATTAAGCACAATTTCTTTGTTCTTACAAGAGTTATGCAATTTTAGCTAATCTACTTAAATGTCCCATTAGGTATGATTTTTTTTGTAAGTTAATGTCTTCTTTTCATAAAAGAGACGACAAAGAGTATAATAAACGAGCACAAGGCCTGAGCGTATGTCAAGTGATCCCGCTATTATATACAAAAACTCGTGTGTTTTCTTAAAACAATACGATGGCTATTACGTAATTCTACAACAGTCGCGCAGGAGTCGCTTTGTCTCCTCTGTTCGGTTCCTGTCTGGTGGATGTCTGCAAGGCATCTGTTAATAAGCTGAGACAATTGGCTTTAGATATTTGCTGCATTAGCAATTTTGCAAAACAACAAATGTATTAAAATTTGAGTTGATGATCTCTTACTAAGTATTACACTATCCATGTACGTACACATGTATTAGGTAGAATATATCAGTTTGCTAAGCGCTTTCGCATTATTATGTTCCTTTGTCGTTGCATCGATTGCAGTCGGAATTCCCCTAGGAACGGGGTCGTTCCGCCCCTATCATGGTTGCTATATCGACGGGAGGAAAACAATCGGGAAATGGTACCAACGGATCATTATACAATGTGTGGGGTAAGGTAACTGCAAATAATGGCTGTAACAATGTTCCAAGCGCCGTCCTGAACGGGTATGAAATTAAACGTGTTAATGGAAATGCGGGGATCTAAGTCGAAGGTAGATAAAAGTATAAATGTTATGTATTCAGTTACTATAAACAACTTGGATCGTTAGATGAGGATAAATATAAAGAATACATAAACAATATCTCTGGCATTGTTTATGTTACGTCTCAACGTGTTCGTCTTGCTAGCGGAATAAGTAAATATGTAAACAATTTGAATATATAATTTATCCAGTAAACTTTTGAAGTTTTCGGAGGTCCAACTAAGTTTTAAATTACAATGACAATAATAAAAAAAGAAACTTTAACAAATGTGTATGACACTAAGTTTGTTTTACTTTAACTACAGGCTATAGAAGGCCAAACCAATATCTTCTCAATGTTATGTAGATAATGAAATGGGTCCACCGATAACACATTCAAAAAGGGTCTTTGTTAAGAACATACATAGTACTAGACAAATGAAAGTGGTGGCTGTCATTGATCTGGAGAGAATGGCGTGGCCACTAGGCAGCGGTGTCACAATTCGCTCCAGCTCACTTTTACCAGCGCGTTTCTCCACCGCTCCACGCTTTCGTCCTAAGTGGATAATTAAATTAATTACGCCCGTTATGTGCGGCGCTCTCCCATAACCCAATCTGTGCCTTGCTTCATAAAATTTGACTTCATGATTTATCTAGTTTTCTCAGCGTTTTATTGGAAGTGAAACTTTGCGATGATTCGTTCGTTTAGGTCGCTTCTCGGCAGAAATCGATCGCTTTCGTAGTTGCATCGTTTCGGGTTCAATATGTACCAATGATTACGAGTACATGATGTAATGAGCTCATTATGCGGAGTCCATTGCAAAATTATTATTTGTATTATGAATGTTTACAAGGATTCGATGAAGCGAAAACTTTTAAAATGGTTCTAGTTTGTGATTAACCAATAGTAGGGGGATATATTAATTCAACTTCTCCTAATCGTTGTTTGGGTACGTGAAATCATATTACTGCGGAAGATTACTGGTTGTTCAGGAAAGAGCTAAGGTTCTGGTAACTCACCGGTCTCCGCCTTCCACTGCCTCACGTTGCTGGGGCTCGGCGAACTGGTTGGCTGATTCAGTTTCTCGAAATGATATGACCCTGTCTCTCCTAATAATCTTTCCATAGGTCGCTGGCACAGTATTCTTCGGGAATTGTTCGTACTCGTCGTAATAGCGAGACACGGTCAATCAGAGGCGAGCGCGGTGTTCCGCGTTGAAAAGGATTGTTACCAGACCAAACAATATATAAAATCCCTATCAACTTAATAATTTTTGTCACTCGCAATTTAAATGTAAATAACGATATCGAAAAATAAAATAAATTACGAAAAATGGTTCCGGTACGGAACACTGGTATGTATGTGTAAGCATCTAGCTTGAAAGTCAACTATCTCGTTACTTAATCTTATAGTGGGTATATTGTTCATTGCAAATGTAGGGGAAGTCGTTGGATAGAGGTGGCTCACGTACATGCTTCGTGCGGTCTGGGGGAAGCCTATTTCCAGCAGTGGAATAAAATAGGCTGAAATGAACATAATGATGATTGTTCATCCTACCTTTTCATTTAAACATTGGATCGATTGTTGTCACATTGTGACATAAGATTAAATTTGTCAGCCTTATCTTCGATAAAATGTCACTTCAGATATATAGCCACGTACAAACTACGATTTGACTTAAAAAAAACTTTTGTTAAACCCCCCAAAAGAAGCGCATCGATTTATAGGTATCTTGAAACTTTGTGGTAACTTCCTCGACCAAGTTTTCGTTATTTTTCAAGTTCTCATAATGTAAGCTTTTATAACATTATAATGTAAACCTTACAATTGTTTATAATGACAAGCAAATCTTGAAATGACAGATGAGTGAACTTGTTAAAACGTGTCGATGTACCCTTAAGGGAATATTTCGGTAATATGTTCTTTTATACTGTATTCCTCACTTATTTTACCTTTACGAGAGGTATTACGAGTTTGGAGGTTAAGAGCGTGGGGGCCATCGGGCTGTCGTCAGAGCGGCGTGGGTGGACGCATTTCCTGTCCCGTTAATCAAAATACACCTTCGGCCTCCCTGCGGGACACTTTCAATGTCACGGCTGATCGTCTCGCATTACGTTCTTGTATCCTTTTGACGGCTTATTTTGTTGTATCGTTTTTTATCATCTATACATCGCTTTACCTGATGTCGTGATAAAAACAGCCCTTTGGTATTTGAAATACAAGCTTCAGATGCCTTGACACCTGTTAAAATAGTCGGTCTGAGTTACCTAATTCACAAGACGGAACGCAGATGTATAATTAATATTCACGCCGGTTTTCAGCGATTTCCTTCTCGGACGATCCTCCTCATTCATGCAATAGCAAGGGCCCTATCACTATAATTATATGGCGCTGGATATAGCTTGACTCTTATACCACCTATTGGTAGGTCTAAGTACTCATGAAATCATTGTTTGTAAACACATTAGCTCAGTAAAAGTCTATTGATTCATGCTTTTTAAACTCTAAAGGCACCCTAATTGGAATTAGTCTTTAACTTAACTTTTGGTATTTATTCGAGAACTACATACGGTAATACATAAAGATTGCAACCTGCGACCTTAAATCTTGCTGCCGCTATACCACCACTGCTCTTGATATGTATATCATACGTCTAGCAATTGCAATTTAATATGCCACATGGAATGGAAACCCGTACTCGGTTATTGCTGATGCATGATGTTGCATAATTTCCAATGCCTCTAGTCGCCGTCTTGGGACGATGGTTCTTGTGTCTCACGCCTTATGGGAATAACTTAGGGCTTATAGTCTCGGATATGGTTTGCCAGGACCTGTGTGTGTAAGACATGTGAACGATCATCATTAGGGTTGCCAATGTATGAATGAAATTTGCAAATTCCGGTATATTAATTGGGATGCGAACTTCTTTGATGTTTTGGAGATGAATGAAAAGATCGCTAATTATCTATTCACTATGTGGACCGCGTTTTAGATCCTATATAAGCAAACGTTCTTTGTCCAACAGCAACTTATAACACTTACCTTATCATCTGACTTGTCACAACATAGTATAAAACAGTCGTTCCGCTGTCTGTCTCTCCCTATGTATGCTTAGATATTTAAAACTATGCATAGGATCTTGATGCTTGATGTTTTATTAATAGATGGAGTGATTGAAGAGTAAGGTTTGTATGTATAATACATTGCTCAACGCAAAGCTGTTGCGGGTCGCTAGTATTATACACAGGTCTCTAACCTGAATATCACGGCATGTTCAACGCATTGCTATGCACATGGTCACGAAAATTAACAAAACTCTTTATTAAATATAGCCTTGTTTTAAGCTCTTAACCGTTATAAAAATGTATTTAAATGTCGGTGGGAATGCTCGAGCTGGGCAAATGTCATCCGTCATATTATCTCTAAACGCTTCCATCTGCAATGGGAAGTGGGTGGTTAGGGATCATTTGGGGGGCAGGGGCTGGGGGGAATGCGGTGCCGTCCGGTGCGGGCTTCCCTAGGTCCAATCGTCGCACATCTTACCGCGCGAATTCAGCTAGATATCGGAACCCTCGATGCAATCACTTTTCGCCAAGCGAAACCACTGGCAATGGATGATTTGTGAGCCCGTCTGGCGTAAGGTCTTTGGAACTGTCACTTTGCGCTGGGTCGCGGCTTCGATCTCCACATTGGACAAAAATAATGTGCTCCTCAAACGATAGTTTGTGGAGCAAGTAGGCATTTCAAAATAAACTAGGAGATGGTCGTATAGTAACTATCATATTTTGTTATACTGATAACTTCGCTGGTTCTTTGGCGTCTACAAAAATGAAACTGTCAAGAATTTTTTCGCTCTTTTAATATATCATAGTGTTAATATTTTACTCGCTAATTTTAGCGAATTATTGATTAAATATTTAATGTTTTATTTTGTTCAAACAAATTTATAAATTTTACTCATTTAATGAGTAGGCAACTTTACTTGCCGATATGAAGCCGTGATAGTTAGTGTCCGGGTGATCAGCCTTTATATTCAATTTAATCGAGCAACCCGAGTTCGATCCCAGGTGC